TCTAGTCGAGTTCCTCGGTGTGTAAATATAGTGCATCTACTGTGTGTGTGTGTGTGTGTGTATGTGTGTGTGTGTGTGTGTGTGCACCTGTGTGTATTTAGCTTCAGCACCTCTTCATCACCCCAGCAACATCCCTCTGGCTTCTGCTTTGAAACTTACTTCTCACTCATTGTAACCTAACTGAATAGAGGCTGGGGAGGAAGAAAAGCGTGAAGCTGTATTTTTCAAACCGTCAGTCTCTCGCCAGTTGCGGCAGCCTGATGTGACCTTATAGCAAACATCAGCTGTTTTGCAAAAAGTCCATAGCTTATGGATTTCGTGTCAAGAAAAAATATCTGATATTTCTTCTAACAAATCCTCACCCTTTAAATGGATTTACTGTCCAGCACAAAAAAATATTTCATATTTATGCTAATAGAAAGACCATCTATTCACTGGTTTCTGTTGGCATTTTATTACTTTTCATGCCACAGAAGAAGAAGCCCACTCTCCATACTCATCTTTTTCCACTCAATCGATGTTTGTTAAAGTTGCTGACTGTGTACCATCACCCCCCCATCTCAGAAAGACCCGCTCCGACCTCAGACCCCATCATAAAATCATTTCTGAGCTTCATACAGTTGACCCTGAAGGTTAGGTTGAGGTTCCTAGCGTGATGTTGCCGCTGAAGATGGTTAAGGATTATGATGATGGTGCTAGTTCGAGCTCTGTGCCATCAGCAAGAGAAATGATTAGGACTGCACCAGCAGAGTGTTAGCCTGACAGATGGCAACACATGGAGCTAGCTGACAGCACTGCTGACAGCGCATTCACAGGAAGTCCCCATCTTGCATGCGCTGTATACACTGTTTGTTGCTGCATGTATTCTGGTGTTTTTCCGCCATCAACCGTATTCCTACCTGCCAAAGTCGGCTCACATCACCAATTCACCAGCTTAAAATTTCAAGACGGCTGCACAGGCCTCCTGTCATGGCACCAAAGAGAGTCGAGGTCTGTTAAAAATCTTCGGCGGGTCATTATCCCAGTCACTGGTCATTTATCAACACCTGTCTTTTTTGGTAATTCATTCCTCCAGTGGTCAATAAAGTTTCAGTTATTTTCCCCTCAATCAATCTACTTAGAAATCAGCTCTGCGGGCATGTTAATGAATGGCCAACAGACATAGATACATTAATTGAATGACTGAATACATTAGGAGCTGTATTGAGCGCTGCACTGTTGCCTCTGCGAGTAGCAATATGGAGTTATTATTAGGTTCAGTGATTGATGAAAGATGAGGAGCGCTTTGGCACAAACCTGTCGGTTCCACTGCCCTGGATAGGAATGAAGGGAGACGGAAACTGTCCGTGCATGAGAACACACAAAGATCTGATCCTGTGCTTGTTTTGAAATGCTGTTTTAATTTTTTTTTTCCTTTTGGTTTGTTTATCCGCTAGAACAGTTTAAAACTCTATCCAAATGCATCCTCAGGGGAAGCACATGTAACCCCTCCGAATAGCTGTAATACTTCTCGCTGTCACTTCATGACAGCTCCGAGCTTGAAGTTTTGCATGTGTGCCAATGTGCGCCGGAGTGTGTGTGCCGTGTTTTAAAGTGTGTACATACATGCATATGGATGGGAGCATGGCAGTGATGTGATTGATGAGACATGAAAGAGAGCAGGGGGAAGATTTCCAGTCAATCAGCCCAGTGAATAACCACCTAGGCTGTGGATTAAAGGCAGAAAGCTGTCTGAACTAACAAAGGCTCACATCCATTACCTTACATGCAGAGTTGTTTTTCTCTCCGGAGCAACACTGACAACAAAATTAAAGTGTGTTAACAAAAATAGATGGTTTTGTTTTCTTGAATTCGAAGAGATGAAACATCGCAACATCTAACAACTTGGATGCTCGCGGAAATAAAAATCATGTGAGGTAAAAAAGATCTCTGCAGCAGAGTGACCTATACAGCACTTACCATTAGGATAATGTGTGTAAAATGAAATGGGACATAATGGATTTTTCTCCTGTATGTTAGGTTTTGTCCAGACTGTTTCAAGATTGGATTTAATGTCAATTTCTGGATAATTTAGCCTCTCTGATCTTTTCAGCGTGGCTTAGAGCTAAAGAGGCCAAACAAGAACCAGTTTAAAGTTGTTGGTTTAACTCCCACTACTGACAGCAGTGTATTTAGGCAAAGGAAAGGGGGCTGGTATTAGCCTTTATCTGTACAGTAGATTAGCCAGCTATCTCATGTTAAGTGCCCTTTAGCAAGGTGTGGAACTGTTAACTGCTCCGTGGATGCTGCACTGTGGGTGATGCTGGATTTCGAAAGATTTTAATCCTGAATTTCAATACGGAGGGGGGCACATGAAACTGGTGGTTTGAAGGTCCTCTGCCAGAAAGTTTTGAGTGTCAAACACTTAATTTTCTCCATTCTGGTGTTTTTATGCAGCAGTTTGGGCCTTTTCTGCATCAATAATGATGTAACTGGCCAGTCATAATGTAGCATTGGGCCGCCTCAGACCAGAGTCCAACAACAACAACACAGCTGTGCTCCATTGACTCTAATGCAGTCGT